AAAAATATATATTTTAAATTATTTTTGATATGTAAATGCAACAAATAAATTTTTAAAAATAAAAAGTAAATTATATTAATACATTTTTAAATAAAAAATATTTTGGAAAACAAAATAAAAGCAAATTCCGACCTGCCGGATTCGAACCAGCGACCTAAGGATTACAGCAACAACTACAGTCCTCCGCTCTACCAACTGAGCTAAGGTCGGATGCTTGCTACTTGATTAAATATTAAAATATTAATTAAAAATAACAAGCAGAGCATGTACAGAACACACAAATACACGTGGCATCCCAGGTTCTGGCACCGTGACAAAAAGAAAAGAGAATTACGTGATTGGCTGTGGCTGGGGGGCGGCTGGCAGTCACGATCCCCAACAACCCCCTCCTAAAATTTTATAAGAAACAAATGATTTATTAATAACGTTACAATTACACATTTCAATTTCAATTTCAATTTTTTATCAATGTTTCTAAAATTTTAATATATCATTTGTTTAATGGTAAAAATTTAAGACTAAAAAATTTATTTTCTTTATAATTTTAAATTCGATCTTTATAATTACTAATTTAATGATTAATAAAAATTTATATAATTATTAATTTTAAAATTTATAAAATTATTTAAGGTATTTCATGATGAATTAAATTAATTGAAATATATATAAGCTGACTCAAATATTTATATTAATAAAAAATAAAATTTCTTTAATTAATATTTATTAAAACTAGATATGTTTTTAATTAATATTTATTAAAACTAGATATGAAAAAATAAAAACTCTAAAAGAAATTCTAATTGATCATGCATGTTATATATATATATATATATATATATATTTTAATTACAATAAACTTTAGCTTATATATTTTTGTTTTTTTGGTTTGCTTTACTTAACTAGCGTGTACTCAAATTTAAAATGAAATTAGTATTAATTTTTATATCCATGTAATAATATATAATCACCTTACATATCTTATTAGTTGATTAACAAATCAATGGATAAAGATTAAAGTTGAGATTCCTAATGGTAAACTAGAAAAAAGTTGATATTACTTAATTTATCATGCTAAACAAAATAAAATCCCCCTGTTTAAAGTACAAAAGTAAGAGTTAGTTTAAAAGTATGGTTAAAAGGTTTTTTTAAATTAAATTTTTTATTTTTTTGATTTTTTACTGTTAAAAATAATATTTTTAAAAATATATTATCATAATATATTTTTAAATAAAAATGATTTAATAAATTCCCGTACAATAACAAGCATATCCTCACAGCGGCAAGACCTCCTAGGGTTTTAGCCTTTGCATCATCATCATACGACATAAATAAATATGTAAAACCCGTACCTTCTCTCTCTCTCTCTCTCTCTCTCTCTCTCTCTATATATATATATATATCTATATATTTCTTTCTCAGTCTCTCCAACAGGCAGCGGCGACAACAACAACGTTCCCTCTCCGACTGCAGCGTTCTGCTACTCCTTTTGTTTTCCCTTCCACTCCACCTATCACTTAACTATCAGTATAAATAAACCGAAACCCTTCTGATTCGATCGTCGTGTTCGAGTCCCAGGTACATTTTTTTAAAATCTTTAATCAGCACTCTTAGATCTGTAAAATCATTGTTTTCATCCTATGTTAATCCATCTTTTTTTTTTATTCAGTTAAAAAATGGCAACGGCAGCAGCCCAACTGCGATTCTCGACATTTGCAAGGCAATACGCTGCTAATTTCAGCAAACAAAACAACCCTAGATTCCCAAATCCCAATTCTCCTTCTCTCTCTTTCCCTTTCTCTACCCCTCTGAATCCCTCCCTCCGCCTCCTCCATTCCAAACCACCCCACCTTTCCAATGCCGGTGGAGGCTTCGGTGGCAGTGGCGGAGATGGTGGAAACTGGAGTGGCGGCGGCGGCGGAGGAGCTGGTGATTCGAGTTCTGACAATTCATCATCGTCCGCGGCGGGGTTTGGGGTTCTGGGTCTTTTTCTAAATGGGTGGAGATCGCGGGTCGCTGCGGATCCGCAGTTCCCTTTTAAGGTATTGATGGAGGAATTAGTTGGTGTGTCTGCTTGTGTTCTTGGTGATATGGCTTCGCGGCCGAATTTTGGTCTTGACGAGTTGGATTTTGTTTTTTCGACCCTGGTTGTTGGTTGTATACTGAATTTTACCTTGATGTATTTGCTTGCGCCTACTGCGGCTGCTACTAGTCAGACATTGCCTGCAATTTTCGCCAATTGTCCGACAAGTCATATGTTTGAACCTGGTGCATATGGTTTTATGAACAGGCTTGGTACTTTTGTTTATAAAGGAACTATTTTTGCTGCTGTTGGTTTTGCCGCGGGTTTGGTAGGGACTGCGCTTTCAAATGGGTTGATTAAGATGAGGAAGAAGATGGATCCCACTTTTGAGACGCCGAATAAGGCACCTCCCACTGTTTTGAATGCATTGACTTGGGCAATTCATATGGGGTTTAGTAGTAATTTGAGGTACCAGACGCTGAATGGGGCTGAGTTTTTGTTGGAGAAAGGACTTTCTCCCTTGGCGTTTAAGACATCGGTCGTGGTTCTTAGGTGCTTGAATAATGTTCTTGGTGGGATGTCGTTTGTGATATTGGCGAGGATGACGGGTTCTCAGAGCGTTGAAGAACCAAAGCTGGTTGATGTTGATGTTGGGCTGGCTGCTCCAGAGAAGGAGAAACTGCTTGATGGAGGAGACGAGTTGCAGAGCAATCAGTCGATTTTCAAGTGATAAACTTTTTTTTGCAGAGCAATCAGTCGACGTTCAAGTGATAAAACTTTTTCAACTTTCACGGGTGGTTGTGCTTTGGGAAGGTTTTCTCTTGGCATCCTCAATCCATATGGTTTATATCAATAAAGTTTGCAATGGAGTCTGTCTAGTGTTGATGGAAATCTTGGATGTTAAATGATTTGGGGGATTTTATTTAATGATGCTGGCCAAACTGAATGTGAACAAGCTGCTGCTTGTATTCCCCTTTAAAATGTCGTTCTTCAGGATTTTTCAGCTTAAATATTGAAGTATCACTTCAGTTACAAGAGGTTGAGAGTGATTGAATCATATATATCGATTTTTTATTTCGTTTTTTGATTTGCTGATTCATCCTTTTCATATTTGTGTGTGTTTTCACCACCGGGCAAAGGAATGCTTCAAGCCTATAACGAAGTAAGGAGAACATATTTGATGGAGAGGGGAACTAACTTGGATGGTATTCGTTCTTGGCTAATAATCTCTTCTAAGCATTACTCGTTACCATAAGAGATTTTTTTAGTTTTAGCTATAGCTAAGGTGGTGGGTTAGTGGGGCAAGAAGTTCTGGACCTTTAATGGTGGTGTTGGTGAGAGAAGGAAATAAATTCCTTTTGTGCGTTCATAATGGAAAGTCCTTTTCTTTTGTTTTTTTCACAACAACGCTTTTCAATCTGCTTCTCTCTCTCTCTCTCTCTCTCTCTTTGTTACATCAAAAGTTAGGCCTAATCCATCGTATTGGATGGTTTTGATTGACAGAATAAACATCGGTGAAATTGGGAAATTTTGGCAAACACAAGGATGTAGATATTTCTCAGGGCGACTAATTTACAGTATTCATATTCTAGATTAAAAGTAGAACTTCATAAGCTATGAATATGACTATCTGCCGACAGAATTACAGCCCACGCCCTCAAACAAAAACACTAGTCAAGTTTCTCTAATAAACCCTAGTCAAGTTTCATCAAGTTTAGATTCCCTATTAGGTGCGTGGGATGGGACACCTCAGAACTTTGCAGCTGTCAAACCATAAATTGGGAATTAAGAACGAAGGATCGCCTAGCAAGACGGCAGACGCTAGCTGATCATGTGTTCGAAAAATTAATAATTATTTTTTAAAAAATATTTTTAAATTTTGATCTAAAAACACTAAAAATATATTAAAATATAAAAACAATCATGCCAACAAGTTTTGATAAGAGTGTTTAGGATAATGCCCCCTTGATTGTTGATAATAGGGAAGGGAAGATTTAGACTAGAGTGCTCGTCCCTCCCTCACAGGTGCACGCGTCTACCCATAGAAGCTTTCTTGTAGTAACTTTTTAGCAAGTAAATGGTCTCTCAAACTCAGACTACTGTACTCAGCAAACTCCACAAACATTCATCTCCTCTCGGAGGATAATTCAAATAGGAAAAAAAATGAGAAAGAAATTATTGTACAATGCGAGGGAGAATACATTCTCCACCAGATGTCTCCTCTGTATCTCCTCTTTTCCGCATATTCTACTCTACAAGTTATCTATGCATGCTTGTGTATATCATAGGTGCCGACATGCTAATTGCAGCATATGCATTGCACCACTGTAACTGATTATCACAGTACATCATCTCATCTCATCTCACAGCCTCTGGAGCAGAATTGCAGTAAGGTGTGTGCAAGCAAACCAATTTTGTACACATCAAACAGAGACTAGCAAACCCCACCCCAATTGCTAGCCCAAAACCCCCCTTCCGAGCATCCAACCTTACTCCTCTTCTAATTATGTTTCCAAAGCTAGGGAGCAATCCACCACATGCAAAGACCATTACATGATCCAGACCACTGTAGTCAATTCCTGCAAGTATCGCTCCGATAGCAGATATTGGACCCACAAATCCAATTAAAGTTGCTGCTGCTAGGGAATTATGCCAGCTATCAGTAGCCCCAAATATGCAACTAGCAACAGCTGCACCCCGAGGGAGTCCATGAAGAGATACAGGAAGGACCATGTGCCGACCAAGTCCATAAGCTTTTGGTGCAGCCACTCCTAAAGCCAGCCCCTCAGCCAGTGCATGAAAGGCAACTGCTCCACATGACAAGAATGACTGGAGGGTGTGAACACTCACCGAAAAACCATTTGCTGTAGGTAAATTATTCACCGATGCCTTTTTGCGACCTGCAAGTTTCAAAATGCTAAAGCTTGAAACATGGACAAATGCTGCTCCCAGGGCAAGCAAAAATATGAGGGAGAAGAACCCCATCTTTGAATACACGAGTAGCTGGAGAGGTCGCCAGGCGGCAAGGATAAAGGCAATGCCAGATGCTGCACCCATGAGAAGGGCATGCTGAAGATGGAATGCAAGAGCAAATACAACAAGAATGAAGCCACCAAGCAATGGCCCCAGACCAAAAAGCAATGAAACAAAGAAGCCTGAAGCATCCTCTGAACTGCAATATACAGGAATGAAATTAATAAATACAAGTAAATGGAAGATGAGCAAAACATGCAAAATCAACATAAAACCCAAAGTGGCGAGGTTGCATTTAGGATTGGCATCTCATAATCTGACAAACTTGTCGGCAAGAAAGTATTTCTTTGATGGAGGGAGGGAATATACATTCTGTTTATGGTACGGGCCAACTTTGGTCAATGAAAAAAAAAAACCCAATCATGCAGATCAAGGCTGCCTTACAAGAACTAAATGCAAAACTGCATGCATGAATAGAGGTGTTGTCAACGGTGCAAGACCAAATCTCAGTGAACCAACCAACATGTTATCCAGGAAGGAAGAATTCATGCAGATTAATCAAGTATAAAGAAAACAATGGAAAAGATAAGGGATTAATAATGGATAGAACATAAGGATGATTCACCAGAATTCCTTCTTCATTCATTCATTGTTTGTTAAAATTTCTTAGCTGTCTTTCTCTTTGTCCATTCTATTACATACACAGCAGCAGTACAAAGGAAGTTCCTACAGAATAGGAATTCCTGACATCCACTAACCTAGCCACACGTTGCCTTGAGAAAAACTAAGAAAACAAAATATAAACATAACATAAAACGCTGCGTTTAACATAAACATCACAACATAAAATGCTGCGTTGAGTAGATTGAATGTGCAAAGGTCAAAAAGCATTCCCTCAGTCTCTTCTCATTCAATTTGAAATCAATTCCCAGTAATCACTTTCACTTGCAACAGTCAACTGTAAGCCTAGAAAGGATTACATGTGCAATGAAAGATTTTAAAGCATGCTTGGTGGAAAAGGTTTCAGATGACCTAAATGTTCCATGCAATCAAGATGACCTGGTGGGGTTTAGTAACTATATGTCCCAAAAGCAGTTGTTTGCATCATTTTCAATTCATTTAAATTACAAATCCCAAGAGAGATGATTTTCCTAATTAAAATTAAGGTGGAGAAGCTGAATGTCATTACTATGTCATGAGCTGCAATATAACATAAGATGCACCAAAGCAGGTATCACATATGACAATCAGGATAGTAAGATATTATGGGCTTCAAAAGAGGATACCAGTTATTAGATACCATGGCTGTCATCTAATATCAGTATGTTTATGTCAAGGTGACGTGTGACACAATGGGAAACTTGACCAATAACACAATTTTACCACTTCAGAAGATGCATTCTCAGAAAAGTGAAGTTCGTAGCAACTCACTTGTAGTCATGGCTGAAATTCTCAAAAGCAGTGCTGAGAGCTTCCATAAATGCTACAGAAATTGTAGCTGCTGATGCCACTTGAGGAGGAGAGGCTTCCTGTAATAAAAAAAATCAACAAGAATTTAGCATTTTCATGATAAAACAAAAGTAGACACATAAAAATGATGGAAAAAAATTCATTTTGAACTTATTTGAAACTATTTTGACATTTAGGATTCAAGGTTCCCTATCTCTATCAGCAAATTACCTTGAAAGCATCAGGAAGCACCTCGGAAACCACCATCCAGATCATACATCCAGCAGCAAAGCCCGTGCAGAAAGGAAGGAACTTGCTAAATGCACCAGCACACATGAAAGCAGGAACAGCTACGATGGGCTGTAATAAGTAAATGATTAATAATCAAGAATGCCAACAATAATCATACTAACACAATATTGTTGACCCAGTAACCATATTATTTGGATATATTTTGTTACTTCAGGGAAAATGTTTGTGGAGAGACCAAATTCTTGCTGCTAGTATTTTAATGATCTGAATATAAGCTTGGATAGGTAGCAAGATCTCAAGTCTTGCACAATCAAGAGTTAAATAAACCCTGAAAAGGGCTCTCAATTTTTTTTCCTAGATCAAATTTGCTTCACACTGCAAAGCAAAATAAATGGCCTTACAAAAATGTAAGAGTCTTGCTCCACTCATGCATAAAGGTTCCTGTCAGCATGAATTCCTCACCCTCAACCAGGAACCTTCTAAGATTAGCCAGATCTCTTTCTTGAAATGGCCCTTAGACTGGGTTGGTGTTCTTGCCCAACCTGTAATCCGATCCCCATTTTCCAAACATGAAGAAACGACCACAGTAGAGCAAACTAATCAAAGAGGTTGGATTTGAACAGAACACTTCCAAACCACAAGCAGTTAATACGATCGAGATCTGTCTAACACAGGTAAAATTATTGCCAACAACAAATTTCAAACATGAAACTGATTTTAACTATGGTGGGTCCTCCAAGCTCTTACCAATCTAGCAGAAACATCATGAGGAAGCATACAAAACTAGAAGAGATGAGGAAGTTCTCCAAATCTTATCCTGATAATAAATGCACGACATTTTTAAAAATGTTGCTTCTATGATTTGCTTTTTTCTTGTTCGTTTAATTGTACTGATTCAAAATGTCTCACAGAGTGATCTCCGGAGGTGAGTTATACGCATGGACTTTGTGAAGTATAATGCATTACCTGAGGCAAAGATGTAATTACGCTCCATAGCATTGCATTTTGTGGAGAAACACCCTTTGATGCAAGCATCATACTCACTGCTAACCCCTCCGGTATGTTGTGCACGGCTATGGCCAAAGTTACCAAAAGTCCTTGAGAAAAGCCTTTTGAGCCAGCAAAAGAGACACCAACACCAGAACCCTCCCCAAATGAATGAAGAGTCATAATTCCAATAACAAGAACAACTTTAGTTGCATCAGCACCTCTAATGTCCAACATGCTTACTTCCCCATATTGTTCAAGAAACTGAAACAAGAAATCATATAGCATAATGAGATACCAACAACAAGGAACATGCATGAATACACACATGTAAATTATACATGCACATATGTAAATCCAAACAAACATAAATTGAAGCCACAACATAAAATCAATAAACATATAAGAATAAAATTG